GCTTACTGCTTAAGGCCAAAAACTTCTACTCAATCCAGCATTTGATAAAAGACATATGGCTCTCTCCAGCAGGGTTCTGTTCATTCTCTCGGCCACTCCATTTTGTTGTGGAGTGTTTCTCACAGTGTATTGTCTATCAATACCTTCAGCTTTGCAGAAATCATTGAATTCTTTTGAGCATAATTCGAGACCATTATCAGTCCTTAATCTTTTGACCTTTTTACTTGTTTGTTTCTCCATCAAAATCTTCCATTCCTTAAAGCATTTAAAAGCTTGATTTTTGTGCTTCATAATGAATATCCAAGTCATCCTTGAGTAGTCGTTTATGATTGAGAGAAAATACCTGCCTCCTCCAAGCGAAGGTACTTGAGAAGGTCCCAGCAATCTGAGTGAATGTAATCCAAAGTAGATTTGGTTGAATGTTGAGCTTTTGGAAACTTGATTCTGTGTTGTTTACCAAAAACACAATGCTCACAGAATCTGAGTTCTTTGACAGTATGATTTCCAAGCAATTGTTGCTTGCTTAGAATCATCATTCCCCTTTCACTCATGTGTCATAGGTAGGTGAGATCAGGTATGTTTTTTTCAGCAACAGAAACAGATTCTGATATAGAACTAGTTGATCCTTGAAGCATATAGAGATTTCCCTTTTTAAAACCTCTCATCACAACTGTAGACCCTCTCTTGATCTCCATTACCCCATTTTTAACATTGCACTTAAAGCCTTTAAAATCTAGAACTCCAACAAAGATAAGATTCTTTTTCAGATCTGGTACATGTCTTACTTCTATAAGAGTTCTGATTACTCCATCATGCATTCTGATTTGGATTGTACCTATACCAACTATTTTGCAAGGCATGTCATTTCCCATGAAAACTCTTCCTCTTAATCTCTCTTCATATGTGAGAAACCAGCTCCTATTAGGACACATATGATAATAGCAGCCTGAATCAAGTACTCATTGATCAGCTAATTCACTACAAGAAAAATGATAAATTGCGACGGATAAATTGCGATAGTCTTGCGGAAGAACCCTTGCCACTATCTTCGGAGAGGTTGATGTGTACGACGTTTGCGTCCTCTAGGGTGACGTTTAAAGTAACACGTGTCTTGCCGAGTAAGTATGTGATGCACGTTTGCGAAGAGAACTTGCCCGTTTGGAAGTCGGTGGATTGTTGCATTTGGGTGTTGACCTCCAACGAACCCACTGATTTAAGCATCACAACATTCTTATTTGCTCGCATTGCTGCTGAAATTATTAGTGTGTGATTATCTTTGCTGAATCCATCGCTCCTTTATAGGTAAAAGTGAACCTACGTACAGATTCGAAGCGTTAAAAAAATGCAAGGCATATATAAAGAGGCATGCATCTACAAAATAAGATATTGACGGCAAGAGAGAGAGAAAACAGAACATTATAGTAAGGAGAACGGAGCAAGACCCAAAGGATTATGTGAGAATGGAAATAATAGATCCAGAAATTTTAGATAGTGAGATAATATTTATTTATATATTTATATTATTAAAAATTTTATATATAACTTTTAAAAGTATAAATATATATTATAATTATTTTTTTAAAAAAATTATATCAATTATTATGAAATAAATTAGGTCTAACTATATTATATTATAATTTAATAAGTTTAAATTTAATTTTTTTTAAATGTGTCTTAAATATGATTTATTTTTCTATCATAGACATTTTTTAAATGTTTGGTTAAAATTACAATT